CAGTTCAAGATTGTGCCTGCACCCTTCCAATTGCTCCTTCACCACCGAACTCTCAAGGTGTCCTCAGACAGAAATGAGAATGGTGCCAGAAAACTTACCATACAGACTGTATAAGACAGTAGTAAGGAACATTTAAAAACCTTGTTGCAAAAGCAGTTTAAACCAGTGAACACGTTTTGTTTGCCTTTTTTTAATAATCTTTATATTTCTAAGGTTCTCAGCTGTCTATTTGATACTTATTTCAACAGGGCTTTTCAGGCACATCACTGTTCAAGTACAGGCTTTAGGTAACTCTCAAAAAAATTCATATCTTTACTGTACTTAGCCTAAAGGTTAATTAGAAGTTACTCTCACAACAAATACACCAAAATGATGCATTTTGAGATAGTTTGTTTGATCTGAACCAAGTACCAGAGCACTGAGTCAATACACAAACAGACTAAAGGAACAAGTGCTGAATGGGACTACACAAAAGAGTAGAGTGCTACTGAAGCGTGTATTGAGTGAAAACTGAATAGAAAAAGCCTAGTGCTATAGATGACACTGGAGAACTATCACAACTTCCTTACCTGGGCTTTAACAGTATCTTCAGAGAAGAGAAGAGAACTATCTTTTAAAAAACTCAGGTAAAAAAAAATTACTGTCTTCCATCTCACCTACAGGCAAGCAAGATTCAAAGGAATTGTTAACAGAAGAGAAAGAATTTTTACACGAAGATAACTATAGCAGGGAAATGGGAAGAGTTGAAACCCAGATAAGAGAAAAGATCACCCTGCAGTGTAAATGGGCCTACAGTACATGTAATCATGTGAAAGAAGTCACTTCCCAGTCACATTGGATAATTTCAAGACATGTAAACTAGATATATACTGAACTGAAAGAGTTATGAATATATTTATAGAGAATCAAGTGTTCATTACTGTTTGTTATTCACTTTTGCTACAGATGAAAAATTATTACCTTATGTAGTTTTTGTTTGTTCAATAACTTATCATCATCCCTTTCCTTCTTTCTATTGAGCAATACTTTCAATAAAAGAACACATTATAGAATCAATATGCTATATATTTTTATTTATATACTGATTTGACACACATACATCAATATATATGTAATGTATGTTACATAGCATATTCCATTTTGTATTATAAGGCACATTTCCTTCAAACTCTGTTTAAGGAAACTGATATGAGGTGTTCCAGAAAACCATCCTTGCTCATGAAAGATGGATTACCAGAGAAACACCAAGTACTAATGCTGGTCTTCAATATTACTGCCTTTTATCTACCAGTCTGACACCGCACAACACACAAGAACAAAAGTAGCTTCTCGGACTAGATGTGAGGCAAAAGGAGAGCCCGGATTTAAAAGGTGGTGTTTTATCTGAAAAGTGATGTACATACTGGTTATATTCAAGTAGAAGTGAGAAGAGACAGAAGTGAGGTTGGACTCTGGACTGTGCCGAGAAGTCATTCATCCACCAAAGAAGTAAAACCAGAGAAGGACAAATATACACCTATTACAGAGTGAGGTTACATGCTGTAAGTATATTAGAAAGCACATAATGTATATATTTAACAAGTGTATTTTCCAAAGTCAGAATTCCAGAAATTTAAGTAAGTTCCAAATGTATGAGAAGCATTTAAATACTCACTGCAGGTACAAACCAATTAGGAGTTAACAAGTTAAAGAGTTAACATGTCCCCATTAATGAATTTGGAAAGCAGGCCCTTCAATGCTTTATTGGAGTACCTGAAGCATGATCAACTCTGGAAAACAGCTTTCTTCATATGGAAAAAAACAAACAAGCATTCAAAGTTATTTACAGAGTGAATGCATAGCCTTGATACTCTTAAACCAAACAAAAAAACCCCTCCATCATCTAACAATAAACACCATTACAAAATACCACTAGTGCTTTTAACGCAAGAGCCTGGGAACATCTGTGTTTTCTATCTGGCTGATTTAATTATTTTAAGAACTTAATATTTTATTAGCTTCTCTGAATGCACACAAGCTCCTTACACTTATATTATACTATAAATCTAGATTAGGGAGCTAATTTAGATGGCTTACCTATAGAGGTAAAGCAGCTATTTCTTAAGAACGTGGTTTTAGAAAGTTAAATACAAGCAGAAGTATTTTGCTCTTGCAAGCGACTTTATCCTGTCAAACAAAAGGTAACAGCTAAGACCAACCAGAACAGAAAAAGAAAAAACAAGGAAAAATTTAAAAGTCCCAAGCAGATCACAAAACTACTTCTAACATAAAATGGAATGATAGCATTTTTTAAAACATCATTGCATGATGTGGTCCTCTCTTGTTTACGTGTCTACAGGCTATAACACTATTGGTTCTACAATTAACTCCTTCTTGAGACTGACTAGTAACTATGTCAGAAGGGAGATTACAGGTTTTTAAAACCGAAATAGCACGTGTTAGTCTGCAAAATATATTAGTCATTTCCTCAAAACCACCTGTACATCAGGTAGAACCTGCTGGTTCTCCCTGTGATCTGTGAGCTTCCTGCTTTGAAGGAGGAGATGCAAACAACTTTTTCCAGCACATATGTAAGACTGCCCTGCTCATCATGCCGAAGGGAAATGCTTGCAGGGAAAAGGAATTTAGCTGTCAAGCCTTCCTCTTTCAGAATTCAGGTTCCTGTGTCAGGGAAATCACTGATGCCCTGTGCATTAATGGACCCTCTCTCATTCCTACAGCCTGATCCGCCAGCATCTAACTGCTTCGTCAGTTGCCAGGGAGTAACGAGCTCGTTACACAGCACGATCCGCAGCCTCCACAAGGATGCTGGCACATGCTTCCCACCTGGGGACACCACCCACTGAAGTAACAGCACTGGAGTGCCTGCCAGTCTTCAGCCTCCCAGGATGGAGTATGCCAATACAGCAGGTGCTGACTTCAGCTCTACCTTCAAGGCTTTAGGCCCCAGTCTTTGTGAGCCTGGACAATGCAATGCAACACACAAAGGTCAGAACAGCCTCCACAGCTACTGGCATGGATTCCTCTTATATTTAATGGCCAAATCTAGACAAAGATGTTCTTCCCAAAATTTTGGCAGACACATGGCTTTTCTGGCTGGGGCAATGACTGCCACCATTCTAAAGACTGTATTGGAGGACAATTCAGTAAAAATGGAAAAAGGTTGGGAAAAAACAAAACAAAACAAACCTTATTTTCAGTCATCAAGGGAGCACAAGATTTGGGGGGATTTACTAAAGATATATCGAAACCTAGTGATCTCCAAGCTGTATACATTAAATCCCTGAATAGATGTCAGCCGTGAACAATTTGGGTCACTTCAAAATCTAAACACGCAACCTTAATGTATTTTTTCAGCTGTTTGTCTCATTAGCACTTCACAGACCTGTTCACAATACGAGGAAAAAACCTCAAATCTGTCAAGAAATAAAAAAGCCACCCTGCTTCCATATGCCAGAAAATTTATTAACTAACAATCTATCTGCATTACTCAGAGACGGTATTTAATGATTTTCATGTATCTGTCAAATGTCAAACGCCATCCAAGAGTTCTTAGTGCTGGTGAATTAACAAGCCCATAAGGGAATACAGCTGTAGACATGCACAGATACCTACACATTCAAAACCTTAGGCAACTTCAAAATAGCTTTTTTTTTTTTTCTTTTTAAACAATTGCATAAAGAAACAAAAAAGAATGAGAAGGAATGCAAATTGGGATGATTCATTCATCAAATGCATGGAACAACAGCTCTATCTGAAGGGGATAGGTGAAAGCAAAAAGTGTGAACTTTCACAGAATCACAGAATCGTAGGGGTTGGAAGGGACCTCAGGAGATCATCCAGTCCAAACCCCCTGCCAAAGCAGGTTCACCTAGAGTAGGTTGCACAGGAAAGCATCCAGGCAGGTTTTGAACATCTCCAGAGATGGAGACTCCACAACCTCTCTGGGCAGCCTGGTCCAGTGCTCTAGCACCCTCACAGCAAAGAAATTTTTCCTCATTTTTGGAACCTTCCATGGTCCAGCTTTTTCCCCTTGCCCTATTGCTGGACACCACTGAAAAGAGCCTGGCCCCATCCTCTTGACACCCACCCTTTAGATATTATGTAAACATTGATAAGATCCCCTCTCAGTCTTCTCTTCTCTGGGTTAAACAGACCCAGCTCTCTCAGCCTTTCCTCATAAGAAAGATGCTCCAGCCCCTAATCATCTTTGTGGCCCTCCACTGAACTCTCTCCAGAAGTTCCCTGTCTCTCTTGAACTGGGAAGCCCAGAACTGGACACAGTACTCCAGATGTGGCCTCACCAGGGCAGCGTAGAGGGTGAGAATCTTCACAGGGACAGAGGTGAGGCTGACTGGCCTGTAGTTTCCCAGGTCCTCCTTCTTACCCTTTTTGAAGACTGGAGTGACATTGGCTTTCCTCCAGTCCTCAGGCACCTCTCCCATCCTCCATGACCTTTCAAAGATGATGGAGAGTGGCTCTGCATTAACACCCGCCAGCTCCCTCACCACTCAAGGGTGCATCGGGGCCCATAGATTTGTGGGTGTTGAGTTTGGCTACATGGCCCCTCACCTGATCCTCCTCGATCAAGGGAAAGTCTTCCTCTCCTCAGACTTCCTCTCTTACCTCCAGGGCCTGGGATTTCTGAGGGCTGGCAGTAAAGACTGAAGCAAAGAAGGCGTTCAGCAACTCTGCCTTCTCTGCATCCTCTGTCACCAGGGCACCCACCTCATTCAGCAGCGGCCCCACATTTTCCCTAGTCTTCCTTTTGCTGCTGAGGTACTTGAAGAATCTCTTCTTATTGTCCTTAACATCCCTTGCTAGATTTAATGCCCTGTCACCTGAAGTTAAGATTAAATTCTTAAGAATTTAAGACAATCAAGATACAAAACCACTCATCACTAATATATGAAATAACATCATGGACACTCATGTAGCAGTTAAATGCATTTTAAAATAACCAATTAGTTTGAAACACAAATATGTACCTAATTCCTTACCTGTCGCAACAATTTCTCAATAGCTGACATTACCATGAGCCCTCTCCACACAACCGGGGATGTCTCTTCTATCAAGAAACCCATAGACATGCTGAAACAACAAAGCAAAACTTAAGCTTTCCAGCACAACATCAAATACGTATGTAAAGAAGTTTGATTTAAATTAAAACATATGCTCACCATGCGATTCCATAGTTCTTAAGAGGCCTCATTAGATTTTCTAAAACAGAAGCAAACAAGGGGTTTTTTGGGGGAAGAGTTGGTTTGGGAGTTTTTATTTTTTCCCTAAGGAAATAAGCTTACACATCGTTTTCCTTTTAAGAGCTGTTTTCCCTCTCTGTTAAAAGCATTTGTCTATTTTCCCCCCTCATCCCTTCAATATATGGATACCTTTATCTATTCTACCCAAGAACCTGGCCTCATCTTTTTCTTAGGTTGTTACATTTTACTGATACCATTCATCTTTTGCCAGAATAATAATGCATTTTCCCATAATATAATGTCACTTTGTGCTGCCAATCCCTATGCTGCGAGGCATAAACCCCCTATTAGGCAACCTTCTACTTCTGCAATACCTTGCTAAACGCAGAGTCACTTACACCAGAACAAAATCTAAGCCCCACAACGTGACAGGATTTTAATGTTGTTGTTTTTTTCTTAACTCTGCTACTCACTAATCTCATGAATCAGAGGATCACTCCCACTAACACACCAGTGTTTTGGGGAATTCTTCTCCTTGTATTAAGTCTGCTTTGGAACCCCATAGGAGAGGCACCAAATAAAGCCACCCCTAAATTACATGCTGTCAACAGCTCCAGGTAAGAAATCTTTGATTTCTTGAGACTGGTTGAAGTCTATAGGACTTCTAAAATTTCTGTAGGAACAAAAGATGCTTTTTTGAAGATTGCAGAGGTAATGTCCTTGTCATGCTCCATATTCCTGTGCTTTCCAGTGTCAAGCAAAAAAAAAAAAAAGGTGGGAAAAAAAAATGTTCTGTTGGCAAAGGGGCAGGCAAGCAGAAAGGAAACAAAACCAAAGGCACTCAAAAAAAATTCTGCAAAAGCCAAAAATTCCTTTTGTAGTCTCTGCCATCTAAATTCCACACCTCATTTCAAAATGGTGCCCACACACAAAAAAGAACAAAAGCAATTTTATTTGGTCTAGCTGGTACATTTTAAGAGCATGGACAAGCAGGAACCAGCAGAAAATTGAAAGAATACTTTAAGCAATAAAAAATGTATTATAATATATATTTTGAGGGAAACCTTTGATGCAGCCAAAGTAAAATATATATAGACAGTAAAATAAAAACAATGTGAATATAATGCAGTGCATTCAAAGCTGAGCTCCAAATTCAGCTAAAATAACACCCAAGAGCATACAAATTAAACAGCTAAACTCTACAGATGAAAGCTTTCAAGCAATCAAGCAAGAAGGCACTCAAGTTATGTGATTTTGTAGAAATATGGCTGAAAATAAATTGGATGCAGTTTTCCCCATCCACAGTGTTTTGGTTTACAAATAAAAAACCCCAAACAAACAAAATAGGAAGAAAACAAATCACTTACATGAATATCGTGTTCAGGAAGGCGTATGGAACTGCTATTGGAAAAGAGATGGGCTTGGATAACAACTCTTCCCTACTTGTGCAACTCCTTCCAGGGTTTAGTCAGGACTTACTTTGGTGTCATTATAATCTTACAGAACAGACACACCTTCAGAGATCTCCCCACCCTTCACCTCAGTGGTTAAAACGGGAGGTGCAGTGAGTACTCAAACACTGACTGACAGAGCAGCCAAAGGGACCTCTCTGCTGTTAAAACATGTGCACTGTTTATTTCTCAACAGCAGAGTTTCATTTTATGAAAACTGAATCCTATTTTATTTGGTTAACAAGAGGGACCATAAACTGCTCTGAGCAGCAAAGATTTAATCAAATTTATGCAGTGCACAAAAAAATTCACAACCTGCTTTATATTCTGGCTATAACGTTCTGCATATTCTCAAAATAACACAAAATATTGCAGAGCACCCCACTGTTTGCCTACTGCTAAGAAGCATTCTTAAGACTATCTCAAATCTAAAGTGCTTCGGTGGGTTCTGGTAATCATCCTTGTCTCTCATCAAAAGCAACAGGCATTCCTCCTCCTTCACCCCGAGTCTCGTGAAGATTTGCTAAAACATAACAAGTAAAGAAGATTTAGCTAATAAGATCTCAGTAATATCCCTAATTCCCATTGCTTCCAGAGGAGAATTAACACTTCCTTCTCTGTTATCAGATGCCTGCCATACAGCTCCAAAAATCCAACACACAACAAAACAGATCTCTTAGAATCACAACAGCAAGACTATGCCACCTATCCTAAGAGATCAATAAAATATCCTTGTTTACAACTTTTCAGTAAGCTTGATGGCCCTAAATAAAACAGTGCTGTGTTTTCCCTGAACATACAAAATTAAATCAGTAAGATCAACTGAGTACCAATGAAATGTCAATAAAATGCCTTTTCTGGTAGGACACAAGTAGGGCACTGGAAAAGGCAGACACATGCAAATTCACGACAGCATTGCAGCAGATTGCTGATTAAAAGAGTTCTAGGACTGGTCTGAGGGCCGGATCGTTACTCACGTGGAAAAGAACGCTGTTGAAGTCATCAGGATGGATCTTCTGCATTTTGGTTTGGGTTTTTTTTTTTCTATTATTTATTTATTTATTTAACCCCCTAGAAAAGCCAAGCCTTGCAGAATATCCTGACAAGGTAACTGAGTTACTCCATTCTCCCTTCCTAGAAAGCCCAACACAGCCATTCAATGGTGGCCATCGGTTAGTGCAGCACAGAAAGTACAGACAGAGCTATAGATATGTTATTGTCTGGGACAGAGTTACATTTCTTCATAGTAGCCTGCATGGTGCTGTGATTTGGATTTGTGATGAAAACAGTGATGATAACACAGAGGTATTTTAGTTACTGCTGAGTAGTGCTTGCACAGCATCAAGACCTCTTCTGCCTCTCACACCACCCCACCACACAGAATCACAGAATGGTATGGGTTGGAAGGGACCTCAGGAAATCATCTAGTCCAACCCCCCTGCCAAAGCCACCTAGGCTGGGAGTGCACAAGAAGCTGGGAGGGGACTCAGCTGGGACAGCTGACCCCAGCTGACCAAAGGGATATTCCAGACCACACGGCATCATGCTCAGCATATAAAGCTGGGGAAAGAAGAAGGAAAGGAGGGACATTCAGAGCGATGATGTTTGTCTTCCCAAGTAACTGTCAGGCATGATGGAGTCCTGCTCTCCTGGAGATGGCGGAACACCTGCCTGGCGATGGGAAGCAGCGAATGAATTCCTTGTTTTGCTTTGCTTGCATGCACAGCTTTTGCTTTCCTTATTAATTTGTCTTTATCTCAGCCCATAAATTTTTGTACTTTGACCCTTAGGATTCTCTCCCCATCCCACTGTGGGAGAGTGAGTGAGCAGCTGCACAGTGCTTCGCTACCCACTGGGGTTAAACCAAAAGTAGACATTTCAATTCTTGGCTTAGTTTTCAGAGGTCTGCTGACTGATTCTTGCCAAGAACAAGCAAAGGCTTACATTCAGTCTTATCTCATCAGGTATGTAAAGATCATTATTCCATAAGATTGTGATGTCATACTACACCTCCTTAAGAGGCATCATACTGTTTAAGAAAAACAGAAGATAGCTTATCATTATTAAAAATGAGTATAGTGGATCATACAACACCCTAGCAAATCTATTTTGAGCTCTCTGACTGAGTAACCACTAATGCAGGAGAAAACAGTAGAAGCTCAGGTCTTCCTCACTGTTAAAGATTTCCTATTGTACCTGGCTTTTTTTGGAACTTGCCACTATAATGGAAGATCAGAGACTTCCTAGAATGGTAACTAATTATCTTACTTAATGTTTGTCTTCAAAAAATCCTAGTAGTGGAAGTCACCTGTCTGTCCTAACTGGATTTTGGTCATTGAGCAGGAAGGTCATGCTTTTAAGTTGTTGTAAGATGGGATGTCAATAGCTAAATCTATCAAAAAGTAGAGCAATTGTATCATTTTCCAGTTAAAAGCAGCCTACTAAGCTTCGCATACAGATTTCCAAATGTTTCCAGAGACACTACCGATGCAGAAGTGCTCGCCAGCACAAACACTACCGCAAGCTCCAGGCTACGCTCTGAATGCATCTGGCTCCTGATACTTAATTGTTATTCAAGCCCCATCTCTGTAACACTCATGCACCCAAAATGAACATTTTTACCTAACAACACAAGGTGGGGAATTATTATCTCATGTTACAGATCAGGGAATCAAGACCTGGACTGTGAAACTTGCTCTAGGTTATTCAAGAATCCTGTGGATTTGGAGATCTATGCTGTGTTCCCCCAAGGTCTGATGCTTTAACAGAGCCATGGCTTCACTGACAGCAACTCCAGTGTTGGAAAGCATGTAATGCACAACTGATAAACATCTCAGAGACCTAAACAGTTCAGGTGCATTGCTGAAGTTACATATTACCCCTTGAAATTCCCAAATACATCTGAAAGAACTAAAATTTTAAAAGGCAAACTGAAACACAATGTACAACAGAAAAAGCTGCAGAAAGTTACACTACATACTGTCTATAATACCTAAGCTCTGAGTAACATTTTATCATCTCATAATTTAAGTGTTAAAACAGCAGCTTTAAAAGTGTATTCCTGAATAGCCCACAAGTTTATGTATTCCTTCATCTTTCATAGTATGTTATTTAAAGAAAACCCCCATACTATAACCTCTCTGCATACATTTATCAAAATTTGAGCAAGCTGATAATTCTCACAACTTATACAAAAGCTAAAGGTTCTGCTGCTGTTTGCACAGCTTGTCATTAGCTGAGGTTTTCATGACAAATTGCAATGTTCCACCTCCTCACATCTCAGTGATGCCTCACTGTCTAAAACACAGATGATGTACGGCACAACAAAGCACACAGCCGCTGTGCCAGTCAGAAAGAGACACTGCAGAATAGTCTGTGGATTCCAGTACATTAAACAAGATTATCTGAGACAAACTCAATTAACGTGCCATACACACAGACAAGCTGAAACAGATTTTCAGCATGGTCACTTGTAAAATCTCAACAATTTTTGCATCATCTGGTTTTTAATTGTGTACAATTTCATGCTGCAGTGACTACAGAATACTCTATCACAATCTAAGTAAGG